AATGAGGTTATGCCCCTGATAACAAGGAAACTGTTGGAATATCACTTGTGAGTTGTCCCACATTGATTCTATAGGGAAAATGAGTCTAGTATATAAGCCTAGTGGGCTACTCCTCCCATCACCAATTGGTTTTGGGATGGAACCTCACTATAGTGCACCTAGACTCACCCTCTTATGGTGCGCTTCATCTAGTGGGACCGCACTCTCTTCTCCCATTCTAACATGGTATCAGAGCGGGCCTGTCCTAGGACCTGCAATGACTCTCTGTACCCGGCCTGCTCTGGGTTTGGGCTTATCTCTCTATCCGGCCTGCGATGTGGGCTTGGACTTACGAAGGACTCACAAGTGAGGGGGCGTGTTGGAATATCACTTGTGAGTTGTCCCACATTGATTCTATAGGGAAAATGAGTCTAGTATATAAGCCTAGTGGGCTACTCCTCCCATCACCAATTGGTTTTGGGATGGAACCTCACTATGGTGCACCTAGACTCACCCTCTTATGGTGCGCTTCACCTAGTGGGACCGCACTCTCTTCCCCCATTCTAACAGAAACGATGAACATCATTATAAAGCAACAATGAAGAAGAAAAGCGTAAAATAAGTTAAGCCTTTCTTTGTCTTCCTTTTTTTGTATTTGTCTTCATGCATCGAGTACACATCACTCTCTAACAACTAACAATATCATTTTTTTTTTAAATGGTAACAATGGTTAACAAAAAAACCTCCATTTGAGTGCATATCTTTGTATACAAACACACCTTTACAATAAGTTAATTGCAAGTTTGCACTAACTTTAAAAATGTCAAACAACTTTAATGCAGCTAGAGTAGCATTTAATAGTACAATTAAAATCATATTTTGTCCTATTTTCTTTTTCCCATTTTGCCCCTCTAAAATCCTCTTTTTATCCATGTAATAGGGGTCTTATCTTTTTGGGTTTTGCTTATTTACACCCAAGATTTTCAATTTTTTCAAAAACCTACCCAAAGATAATAAAAAAGCAGGAACCAAAGGTTCATTCATTATTGGCCCTCAATTCCAATGGCCCAGGTATTGTCTCTAAATCCAATTATTCTCATAATTCATTTAACCCATATTTTATTTTTATTTTTTATTTTTATTGTAAAGAATAAATAAATTTCTGGGCTTTTTATTTTGGTCATAGCAGAAGGTTGTGCTGAAGGTACTCACCATGACTGATGAGAAAACAAAGCAAAAAGCCATAGAAGCAGCTGCAGATATTTTTGGTACTTAAAATTATTTTGATTCTTTTTAATAATTCCATTCAATATCATAACAAACATGAGATTTTTTTTATTTATTTTTTATTTATTTATTTATACAAATATAAAGATTGATTTGGTCTTTGATTAAAAAAAAAA